TAATGGTTCAACAGACCAGGTCAAAATCTTCCCTCAGACCCTGACAGAGTCATCAGACTTCCTCATCTGGCTCTGAAAAATCCCTGTTGACAGGGAGGGCTGCCCTTTTCTTCTCCAACTCAGGATGTCAAAAAGCTTACGAGATTTACATATTCTTTTGACAGCTTTCCCAAGTAAATCTCATGCCATCTTGACTACCAGGTCCTGACCTGCCATTGCTCAGAGGGAAAGACAAAGCAGTAAGTATGCCCTTATCTGGTGAGGAGGCTGAAGGGGGTTCCATCCATGGCCCTTATTCCTAGTCTCATCCTCTTCTGAGAACATAAAAATATATGGGTTCAGAAGCACTGATGACCTTGAAAAGTCACGTGAAAGTGACTGAAATGTCATTGCAAGAACCTTCCCCCTTTTAGGATCAAGAGACTGCTCTCTTCCAACTTTTGGGATATTCTTTCATCCTCCACTCTTGCTGATGACTTATCAGAAGGCGGTGGTAGAGGGTCTGATACCCAGAAGCGCTAAGAAAAAGAGAAAGATGATTGGTCCAGCGAAACAACTGAAGGTCCCAGGAAGTTCCAGTGCAAGGTTTGATTATGAAGAGCACCTGCAGCAGTGCTAGGAGGTCCTCTCTCATATCTGGTCCCATGGTAAGGTCCACATGGCTATATGCCCTTGGAGCTTTGATCAGCCTTGTTGTTTAAAGTCACCAAGTAGTTAATCCTCCATGGTAGTGAGAGGCAGAGCTGAGCTAAGCAGGGATACTTGGTATAAAAAGTAATTTGTTAGGTGTACACGAGAGCCGCTAACAGAGTTACCTAATAGGAGAATTTCAGAGAGAGTTTAGACAGGGCATGAAAGAGGCTTTCCTTCCAGGTTCAGCTCCATGTGATTTCAAGATAGCCAGCAATGGAACAGTAGTGGTGACCTGCAATGGATGTGCCATGTTTTCTTTCCTGCCTGAAGCCAGAAGAGATTTCCTGTGCATGAAGTTCAGGTTGGTGGCTGCGCTGGAGGAAAAGATTACTGGATTGGAGAGGCAAGTAGAGGTACTACTGAGAATCAGAGAAGGTGAGGAGTTCCTAGATAGCAAGGATCAGGGAACATCTGTGCCCCAGGTTCAAGGAAGAAAAGAGCTGGCCACCAAACAATCAAAAAGGAAGAGGAAGTCAGAGGAGGCCTTGTTGTTCTTAATCGCCAGAGACAAGAGGTCAGGGTGGCATTCCAACATCTAGAGAAAGGTGCGAGTGGCCAGGGTGTGGCCACCAGAAAAATATGGAGGGATGCTTCACATGACTGGAATGTTAAAATAAATCAGGGGTGGCCAACCCGAGCCTCAGAAGGAGCCAGAATTTACCAAAGAGCCACAGTAATACATCAGAAGCCACCCGATCAGCTCCCAAACCCCCCGCTCCCAGCTCCCACCCCCTGGCAGCCCCACCAATCAGCACCTCCCCCTCCCTCCCCATCAGCTGTTTTGTGGTGTGCAGGAGGCTCTGGGGGGAGGAGCGAGGGCACAGCAGGCTCAGGGAAGGGGCGGAGTGGGGGCAGGGCCTGTGGCAGAGCAGCGAGCATCCCCTGGCACATTGGAAAGTTGGTGCCTGTAGCTCCAGCCCAGAGTTGGTGCCTATACAAGGAGCCGCATATTAACTTCTGATGAGCTGCATGTGGCTCCAGAGCCACAGGTTGACCACCCCTGAAATAAATGGTCATAACCTATTCAGGAAGGATCAAGTAGACAAAAGAGAAGAGGGAGTGACACGATGTCAAAATGGCATTACCTGTTTCCTAGTCACTGATAACTTGGAAGAAAATCCTGAATGCTTACAGATCAATATCCTAACAAATAAACACCAGATGGGGTATTGGTTGGTGTCTGCAGAGCACCAAATCACACTTCTGAACAGGATGACTGGCTCCTTATTTACCTATCTTTAATGTGTGTGTGGGGAAAAAAGCTGTGTGATCATGGGGGACTTCAATCTGAGTGATGTGCTGGAGGTCTGATGTTGCCAATGCCAAAACATCCTTGGAATTTCTAAATATTACAGAGGACAATTTCCTAACTCAAAGTGTTGCAGTCAACATGGGGGAATTCTATATTAGACATCATCTTGTCAGAAAGAGGAAGTGATCACAGAACTAAAAATTAATGGTAGCTTACATACAAGACCTGATCACATTTATAATGTGCAAACAGAATAAAGTACAGACCAATAACACACACACACTCACACACACTCGGTTCTTTGAAAGGGATAATTTCACAAAGCTGAAGAAAATTATGAGCCAGATCAGCTGTGAGGAAGAATTTAATCAGAAAAATGTGATAATTTGGAACTGTTTATAAACACTTTCCTAGATCTTAAAGCCACAAACCTACAAATCAAGGAAGAAAGCCATCTTGGTTAAAAAACTGACCTGGTTTAGAGGGAAAGTGAAGGCAGCTATAAACAAACAATAAAATAATATATAACAAAAAGAATAAATTGATAGTAATTAATATAAATCAGAAGCCAGGAATTGTAAAAAATTGGTAAGGGCAGCCAAGGGCCATAAGGAGAACTTTATGGTCATCAGGGTTAAGGACAATAAGGAGTTTTTTCAAGAATAATAGACTCAAAAAGAATCCTTACAATGATATCAGTTCATTACTACATGGAAATAACAGAATTGAGGAAATGTTCAATCAATATTTCTGTTCTGTATTTGAGGGGAAAAATAGATGTAGTCATAAGATATGACAACACTTTCCATTCCACTAGTATATCAGAAAAATACTGAACAGCATCTACTGAAGTTAGACATTTTAAAATCAGCAGGTCCAAATAATCTGCATCCAAGTTTTAAAAGAGCTGACTGAGGAGTTTGCTGAACAGTGAATGTTGTTTTCCAGTGAGTCTTGGAACACCAGAAGTTATTGTTTCATCAATATTTAAAAAGTATAAACAGGATGACCTGAGTAATTACACGCCTGTCAGTCATCATTCCAGGGCAAGATAATACAGCAGCTGATATGGGACTTGAATTAGATTAATTACTAATTAACTAGATTTATGGAAAATAGATCCTGTCAAACTAACTTGATGTCATTATTTGATGAGATTACAAGTTTGTTTGATAAAGAGTACAGTGTTGATTGGAAATAAAGCATAATTTTTTTTAACTGCGAGGGTAATTATTGGAATAATTTACCTATGATCATGATGGAGTCTCCATTACTAGCAATTTTTAAATCAAGATTGGATATTTTCTAAAAGTTATGCTCTAGGAATTATTTTGGGAAAGTTCTATGGCCTGTTATACAGAAGGTCAGACTAGATGATCACAATGGTCCCTACTGACTTTGGAATCTATGAAGCTGGCATCCCCACAGCAGAGCCAAAAATCCATTAGCACCAAAGCAGAAGCCCCAGGACAGAGATTCCCACAGCACCT